TGAGACACAACTGTGTTAACCCTGTTGTTTCACTATGCCTGTGAGTGAGAGGTTGGTGCTAATTTGTAGAAAAACCAACACTTGGAGATAGAAAGATAGCACCCACCTCCTTGTGACAGAACTGTAGGAGAGCTGGGACTACATACAGTCATTTGGAGTCCAAGTTTAGAGATGCTATTTGAAGAACTCTGGCAGCCACTTTTTTTCTTCATACAGGGCTCTAACTAACCTGTCTGGGTGGCTGTTTTGTTACTATGTGTTCCTTTTCCCATCTTAAAGGACTTATATCTAAAGAGCTGAATGGATGCCTTTCCATTGGAGATAACCTTCTGTATACATGACTGTCATGTAAAAACCACCCCAAAATTTTGTGACTTAAAACACCATTTATTATTGCTCATAATTTATGGTCAACTGGTAGTCTTCACGGAGGCCAGGTCTCAAGTCTCAGTGACTTGAGCAAACAAGGATTTGTTGAAGAGTTAGTGGGAGCTAACACCACCACGGAGTTGGGAGCACCCAGTTTGGAAAATGGGCCAGAGTATCCAGGCAAGCTGAGGATGCACAGATTCTGCTCTGCAGTGACACCACCTCCAAGTGAGCTTCTCTGAAGTGTTCTTGTCTGTGGGCACCAAGGGACATATTGGACTGCTTTTTGCTATAGCAATTGTAACAGTGAAATCCTGAAGACACTTGCACCTGTATCAGTTAGCTATTGCTGCATAACAAACAACCCAAAACTCAGTTGCTTAAAACACAAGCTTGTTTTTGCTCTCTTGAATCTATGGCTCCAATGGACAGTTCTGAAGTATTCACATTTTGGAATAAATATATGACTGTTAAAATGAATAAACTTGAGCTATAATAGTCAAAAACAAATATGATGAGACAGGAATGCAAGATACAGAAATGACATAACTGATACATTTGTATAAAATGTAAAACAATGTTTATAAAAAGAGGGATGATCTGGAAGGCTCTCTGGAAAACTGTCAGAGACTATGTAAACACCTCCTGACAACTTGCCTCCTAACATCTTCAGCCTTCTTCAAACCATAGGTGTCTCTCTCAAGACATGGGAGGGAAGAAAGGAGGGGGAAGGAAGAAGGGAAGAGAGCTTTTGAGTTCAGACATTCTATCTCTGTTTTTTTTTAGTGACATTCTTCACACATATACTCATTCTTCTTGAGTGTCTGTAGTGTGCAACATTGCAGCTAGCTACTTTATGTGCAAAGGTGACAAGAACTCTCAACTTCTTATTAAAAAAATTAAAACCTACCTTTCACTCTGCAGGGAGCAGGCACAGTGACAAGGATTCAGATTTGAGTGGGTACATCAAGGAGCTATTTCTGGAATCTCCTATACCCTGGGGACTCTTGGAGTTGTGCCTGCTGTCCAGACCTCTCTCCTGAACTCTAGACTCCCATGTCTCATGCCACCAATGCTCAGACCCGGCAGACTCAGACTGAACCCATATCTTCCTGTGGGAGGGAGGAAGGGAGGAATGGAGGGGGTGGTGGTGGGGCCTTCAATACATAGAGCTGCTTCTAGTACTTCTGGGAATGCTGTCTCCTTCTAGGCTCTAGGGGCTGGGCATTGGGCAGGCTGAGGCCACATAGCATAATCTTCTATCCCCATGCCATCCTGAGACTGGTTGAAGATGGATACAGAACCTGGCTGGCCAAGGCTGTAGCAAGGCATGCATATGAGTTACAGAGGGCCTGCTGGGCACCTCTGTGCATGTGTGCATGTCAGTGAGACAAAACAAGGACAGGAGATCAGGAAGGAGGCTACTGTGTGCTGTAGGCGAAAGGTGATAGTGGCTTGTACCTGGGTAGTTACTATGGCAACTGAGAGCCAGGGATAGATTGTAGAGAGATAGAAGAAAGAGAACTATGAGGGCTTGGCAGTGGATAGATGTAAAGTTAACAGGGTGGGTAGGTTGGTATGGCTTCCAGAATTTGGTTGACTCATAGCTGAGCAGGCAAGGGTCCTAGAGGGAGTAGGGTCTCCCTCATATTATCTCTTGGTTGGCCAGCTGTAGACCAGGGCAGCAGGGAGCAAGTTGTCTTGCAGGGGGGCTGTGCTCATATGCAGAGGCCTATCCAGGACCATGCTGTCAGTCCAGAGTTACCTGTCTGTGGCCTCACCAGATTGGGTCCCAGGGACCTTTGGGTGTCAGAAACCAGAGTTTGCCTCTCCTGAGGGACCTCCTCTGGGATCCATGTCCAGGAGATGAGCTCCAGCACTATTCCTGCCAAGTGATATCACCCAACCCAGGGCTGGAGCACACAGCCCACCTGTCATCTCAAAGCCCCCCACCTTCCCCCACTTCTCTCTATCACCCTCACACATAATTTCACACACATATACTCATATACACTCAGACACACAGTCATATTCACACTCACATTCTCACATATGCCAGGAGCTCCAAACCTCCCAAACTAGACTTGCTGTGCTTATCCTCTTGACACATGCTGTGCTTATCCTCTTGCCCTGTTGGCCCTGCACACACTGCCCATCACACTGCCATTGCCCACATCCACACATGCATAGGTACTACTGCACAGATATTCTCATCCATGTCTGACTGTTGGCCACCCTAGGGTCACACACCTCTGCCCCAACCATTTGTCCAAAGTCCATAGCCCTGAGTACAAATTATGTGCACCTGCATTCCAGATTTCATACCAACCTATAAACTCATAGGTCCCCTGTGATTGCTTAATGTAGCTCTTGAGACAATGAGAGTCACCTGAGGAGGCTGTGCTGTTCCTAATCTCTTCTGAGTTGTGTTGGGATCCAGGAGGAGGAGGAGGCCTGTGACTCAGAGTTTGGGGCCAGCCCCCAGGGGTGAAGATGGGAGAGGCACTGGAAAGCCAACCTCACTCATGAAAAGGGGAGCTTTATCCAGCTCAAAGCTGGTTGGGTGGAGTGAGCTCACCATCCCAGGAGTGCGAGCATGGATTGACTTCGGTTGGAGGAGGTACAGGGGGGCCTGAGCCTAGAGACCCTGAAAGCTGGACCTGGGGTGGGGCTGGAGGAAGGTGAGTGGGGTGGAGGAGCTGGGTCAAGCCGCAGCTCAGGGATGCTGAAGGGGCCATCTGGGGCAGGGAAAGGCTGGAGGGACAGGCAAGACTGGGGCCAGCAGTCCCAGAGTGTGAGGGCTGTTTTCTGTGGCCATCATAACTCAGTCTGGGGAGACAGTTTCCTTTTTCCTGCCTGCTTCGGAGGGGTGTGACCAATTCTTTGAACTTCAAAGGGATCAGTGAGTGTAACCCCGAAGCCCAGGCAGTGGTGTGACAACCCACTGAGTCCAGAGGCCTGTCCCCATCAGCCACAGATTCCAAGTCCTGTGTTTGCCAGTCACTCACACGGTCTTGCCTCATCGCACCTCCTAATTTGTAGAGTGTGGTCACAGCCACTGTTCCCCTGAAGGGAGGCAGAGGACTGAGCTCCACACTTGCTGCAGAGGCCGAGGGCTAGTCCTCCAGGGCTGCTCCAGTTCCTGAGTCCTGTAAGCTCAATTCAGGATGGAGCGGAGATGGGTCGTTTCTCATACCTTTAAGAATTAAAAGAAAAAAATCTATCATACCTTTATCATCTTCAGAGAGAGAGAGAGGCATTCTTATTTTTTTCTTTCCCCATTTTATAGGTGGGTAAATGGAGGCGCAGAAACTTTAGGTATGCCTCTAGGTCACACAGAGAGGCCTCTGGCCAGGCCAGTCTGTCCTCAGAGCTTATGGCATGCACATGTGGGGTTAGGAGATTTTTATCTCTTTCACGGAAGGATCACTGGCCTGGGCTCCATCACTGCCCCCTGTGTAACCACAGCTGTCCTCCTGTTCCTGGGCCTCAGTTTCCTCAACTATAAGAAGTGCTTTGACACTCTCAATGGGAAAGAATCCCAAGCTTTATGGACTGACCTGCAGGTAGGTTTTCTTGGTTATTTCCTGACTTATATAAAACATTCAGGGCAGGCATTGGTCAATGTTAAAAAGTAAGAGGGTTCCCATTAAAATCTGTGTTTTTGCCTTGTCTTGAAGAATCAGAATCCTTGGTCATCCTAGTGTTCCCAGCTGCTGACCACTGGCTGACGCTGGGAGCTGTTCCCTGTTAGGTGGAGCTGTTCCCTGTCCCCAGACCCCTTCAGCCAGTACCTTCACTACTGTGCTCTGCCTGCCTCAGAAACTCCTGCATTTGAGACCCCTAACTTGTGTGGTCAGCCCTGCTTTGAAACCTCTGCTCTGTTTCTTATCTGCAGTGTTCATTGGGCAAGTCACTTAGCTTCTCTGAACCTCAGCATGTGGCATCTGCAGAGGGCTCAGAGACCTTCCTGGCCTTCTGTCTATGCTGAGCAGACCCCATGTTGAGTACAGCTGAGCTTGATGGGGACAGTAAGAAAGCTCAGGGCCTTGCCCTCAAAGTGTACGCAGATGAGCTGAAACACAGGAAATGACTAAAGGGAAGCAGTGGACTGTGAAACCAGAGGGACCTGAGGTTGCTCCTGCCACTTCCTAGCTGTGTGACTTTGGGAAAGTTACTTAACTTCTCTGGTCCCCATTTCTGTAGATTCTTCAATCCTTGAAGCCTTACAATAGACAGGGAGGTTGTGGGGATGCAAGTGAGTTAATGTAGGGAAGTACAATACTTGGCATGCAGCGGTGGAACATAGGGCCAAAGGGGCACCGGTGAGGGAGGATCAGGCACTGAGATGGTCTTGGAGACTGGAAAGTTGAAGAGGGTGTGCACAGAAGGCTTTGCATATGAAGGGGGACAGAAATACAGGAATGAGAGAGAAGAGCTTGGTCAGACTACAGCTAGTCTGGGAGGGGCTGAGAGAGGTGACTGAGGGTTAAGGAAGTGGTCTGTGCGGCCAGACCCAGACAATGGGGAGCCAGGAAGTTCTTAGGCAAGGTCTGTCTCTGAAGTCAGTTGTGCTACAAAAGAATGCACTTAATGGCCCTACTTTTGGGGTTGATAAAAATATTATTCTCATACTTACCTGCAGGTAGATACTATGATCCAGAAGGTGCTTTGCCCAGGGCGAGGCTCACACATTGCACTCCTGGTGTGCTGAACCATGCAGTTTCCCCAAACATGGGAAACTTGATGGCATAACTCGTAATAGTGGAGGACTACGTTCACCCTTTCCGCTGGAAAAAATATTATTCTCAAAAATATTACTTTGGGGCCATGAGGACAGCAGTGCCTCCCAGATGCCCCCTGGATGTCAGGTACCAGGCTGAAATGAGGCAGACTTGGGTTTCAGGTTACGAGGGGCAGAGCCCAGCTCCACCCCTGTATACTCCTAGCAGAATTCCTTGAACCACCCGAGTCTCAGTGTCTTCATCCATTAAAATCAGGGGTGAACCACCTGAAGCCTTGAAGTTTCCTCTCAGTATGGGCTGTTCTGGTCTCTCACCTTCAATAGTGGATGTCTTGTTGTGGGGGGGAAGTTTCCCTAACCCCTGTCTGATGAGCTTGAACTACGACTTATTTGTGTGGCTGGTTGGGAGGCTGGGGGAGGGGTCCCCAACCCCCAAGCTGTCTGTTGATGGTGCAGAAATACACAAAGACAGAATGTTTACTGCTGGGCCTCATTTGGGCCCCACAGAGCAGACACCTCAGGCAGAAATGTGTGCCCTGCGCCCCAGTACAGCCCCGTGGCAGCAGCAGCCTCCTCAGCTTGCCTGGAGACAGAAGCTGGTGTATCTGAGGCAGAGCCTTGGTTGGGAGTGTGTGCTGTCTTTTAGGAATGATTTGAGGGTCATAAATTTTCAGTAGCGAAGCAATTGTCAGAGTTTTCATAATGCTGAAGAGTTTAGACTTGTCTTGAGGGGTAACAATTTCACACAAGTACTGCACCAGCTCCAACTATTTGTTATTATAGAAGTGGATTTTTTTCTCCTTAAGGTGGAATCCTGCTCAAATTTCATGCTCTGCTTTAACTTGTTTTATTTCACTTGGAACACAAGTAAAAATAGCCCGTGAGATGTATGCATGGTGGAGGAAGGAAGGAGGGCAGAATGTACGCTGAGTGTTTGCTACCTGCTAGGCCTGGATCTGGGCCCACAGGGCAGACCTGAAGGCCAGCTCTGGTGCTGGGCTGAGAAGTGCTCTGGGAATCTTTGTGACAGACAGATAAATTCTGTCTCAGGGATTTGACAGCTTGCCCGAGGTCTCACAGGTGGGCATTTGGGAGCCAAGTGTCAGACTCAGGGCTGTGTGACTTGAAAGTTCATTTTGGGGGGGAAGCCCATTTGGGGCAAATCTCTCCAATCCCTATTCAGTGCTCTGCAGTCTGAAGTTTATATTCAGTTGCCAAGATAATGCTCCCCGCAGATGCGTGCCAACTCTGAGTGTGAACAGGATTCCAGGAGTGACTATTTAGTATAGTTGATTCAGGGCCTCCTTGAGTCTCTTTAAGCCCCATTGGAAGCCCTGTTTCTATGCCAACCATTGCTGTGCCACTCATGGGCATTTTTATGGACTCCCTACACCAGGCCCTGAAAGGATGACAAAGGAATTGTTCCTGCTTAGAAGCAGTCATTTGCATTCCATTTGCATATCCAGCAATTTTTCTAGGTTCTCCCAAAACAGAGGCCAGCTAACACATTAAGTGGTTGTCTCTTGGACCTGGCGTGGCTGAATAAAAGAGTATCAAAATGGTACTGTAAGGTGATGAAGGAGCTGAGGCTGATGAACCTGAAGAAGAGCAGGCTCATTGGCCCCATCACTGTGCACCAGTTCCTGCAGGCTGTTCCCAGGCAGAGGTGGCTGGTGGATCTGAGGGCCCAAACACAAAGCTGGGTTAAATGAGGAGGAGGAGCCCAGGAAGACAGAGTCCTACTCATAGTCAACCAGAAAGTTCTGTGAGCAGGGATGTAAAAAAAGAGTCCTTTGTTTTTTGAGAATAATTCACCTGTATTAGCACCATTTGGTGCTTTATATACTTTTCTCACATTTTCTTATAAGTGAGCTGTGGTTCTGCTAGTCTACAGGTGAAAAAAAATGAAGTAACTTCCTTGTCCAACTGGAGATGATGGTTGAATGCTGGGAGAAACGCAGGATCAGTGACAAAAGAGGAACACAGAGGGCATTTCAGGATGGGGACAAAGATGTGGAGGGAGGTGTATTAGTCAGCTAAGAGGCCGGAAGTCTGAGATCTAAATATCAGCAAGGTTAGTTACTTTGAGGTCCCTCTCCTCAGCATGTAGACAGCTGACATCCCTGTGTTTTCCTCCCTTCATGTATATTTATATCCTAATCTCTTCTTATAAGGATGCCAGCCAAATTGGATTAGGCTCACTCTGATGGTCTCATTTTAACTTCATGGCCTCTTTAAAGAGCCTGTCTCCAGGTAGAGTCACATTCTAAGGTCCTAGAGGTTAGTTATCAACATTTGAATTTGAATTTGGGGGGGAACAAACTCACCCCAAAACAGTGGGTATGTGGGTGTTAGAGGGAACATGGAGGTGGAAATGAAGAGTGAACAGGAGAGAGCCTATTTCTAAATGCTGAAGTGATGAACAGGTCCTACACAGCAGTGCAATGAACTCTTGCCATAGTTCCCAAGCAAGGAGCTTAGGGCACAAAGGACATTGGAGCCAATTCAGCTGGTGCCAGTTGGACTGGGTCAGGGCCATCTGGAGAGATGCATGTCTCTTTCAATAGCAGCTCATGGCTCAAGAATGAGGTCCCCTTTGTGTGGGCCAGTTTTCTGGGATCTGATGGACCTTCCATCCAGGGAAAGTCATGTGGTCTCATTGCCGTTTCCCCACAAAAGCAGAGCCTGAGGCTTAGGACCTGGTGATTTACTTTGGGGTGTGAACCCAAGGACCAGGAGTGGAAGACAGGTGAGAGAGGGAGAGGAAGAGAAAAGCCAGCCCAAAGGAGTGTTTGTAAGCCAACTAGAGGCCCAGTGCCCAAAATGAATGCATGGGTGCAGTTCCTAGGCCTGGCCGGCAATTGAAGCATGAACATCTGGTGTGGAAGGGCAGGTCCCAGCTGACCCTGGGTCCTGGTCCACATCTGGGCCCCTGTCCTCCACCTGAGTCACAGTGCCTGAGTCCCCATGAGGAGATGTGGTAAGTGAGGCCAGACACTGTGGGCTGGGGCACAGCGTGAGCCTCTGGGCCACCAAGCAGCACCACACAGAAGACAGGTGGCCTCGCAGACTGGCTCCTGTGTGAATCCACGGGAGCCTAATCAACCCCTGTGGACCTGATGGCTGCCACCCAGCTCATCCAGAAGAGACCATGCAAGTGCAGCGCAAGCTCCTCGTGGGCACCTGGCGCCTGAGTGCGAGGGGGCTTCCTCAGCACATGAGCTCTGGTGTTCTGGGGGTGAAAGCGAGCTCAGTGGACACCTGGCATTCTCACTGCACCTCTATCCCTGTCACCCCCACCCCCAGGTAGCTCTCAAGAGATCATGGTCTGTCACCTACACCCACCATGTTCCACACCACCCTTCGGTGGTCAGTGCATGTCATAGTGAGTGGCCGAATGATGGTCAGAAGGGACAATTTGCATATTAAGCTTTTATTATATAGGATTGCTGGTATGGGCAACTGGGACCCAGTCTTGTTGGGGACTTTCTGAAGAGTATTCCAGAGGGATAGAAGTTCCTATGGAGTGGAATGGCACCCCTTGTACTTCCAGCTGTGCCCCCTGTGGTGACTTCAGGAAAGTCCACAAGAGATAATTGGTTGACAGCATGTGGCTCTGGTCACACCTACTATGCACAGCTGGTTGTCCCAGCTCCAACTGGAGTGAAGATGTAGCCAAAAGCATGTGAAGTGGGGGACAAGAAGTACCTGATAATACCTTCCAAGCTGGCAATGAGTATAAATAATAAAACCACCTGCTTTCAGGCTGGAGTCCCTGCTGTCATTCAGGTCTTTGACAGACTTTGACCAGTGTGTTCCTTATTCCTGGATCTCTGCAGTGTGCTGCTGGGAGGTGATGGGAGCTCTGGAAAACAATTCAGGGGACAGTTGGCATCCCTCGTGAGGAACGTTGGGAAGAGGCCTATATAAACTATGGAGCAGACAAGGAGCAGACCTTGCCATTTCTGCCCAGGCAGAGGCAGGTATCATGAAGATGGCATGGGTCAGAACCCTGAGGATATGTGGGTGTGTCTCAGGCAGAAGACAGGCATCAGGCCTATGGAGCATGGACTGTGGGCACCCTTAAGACCCCACATTGGCAATCACATGCTCCCAGACTTTGTGGGTGTGCTCATAGCCACATCTCTCAGGCTGGTGTGCACTTAATGCCACAAGGTCATGGGAAAAAGTGACTCATGCCACTTCCAGGTCTGGCCCAGAAAATGCCTCCTCCTCCTCCACAAAAGTTGCTTCCACTTATTGGCTGGATGATGCCAGGACAACCTATGGATCACACAGTGAAAATGCTGGTGCACAAGATGGAAGAAATCCAAGTTCCCAGGTGACTACATGTGTCAAACCTCTTGAACTGTGTGACAAGAATCCTATCTAATAAAGAGGTAATATGCAAATTGACTGTCATATCAACATACATGTTAACTTCCTCCATGTGGTCAAAGATGGCCACCCCAAGATGGCTGGCAGGTGAGGGCAGTTGAGGGCAACAAGGCCAGCAGGGGAGGGCAGTTGGGGGGGACCAGGCCTGCAGGGGAGAGCAGTTGGGGGTGACCAGGCCTGCAGGGGAGGGCAGTTGGAGGGGACCAGGCCTGCAGGGGAAGGCACTTGGGGGGGACTAGGTCAGCAGGGAAGGGCAGTTGGGAGGGACCAGGCCTGCAGAGGAGGACAGTTGGGGGTGACCAGGCCAGCAGGGGAGGGCAGTTTAGGGCGACCAGGCCAGTGGGGGGGGGGGTGAGTTAGGGGTGATCAGGCAGGCAGGCAGGTGAGTGGTTAAGAGCCAGCTGTCTCAGATTGCGAGAGGGATGTCCAACTGCCGGTTTAGGCCCGATCCTGAAGGGTCCCATATTGGAAAGGGTGCAGGCAGGGCTGAGGAAACTCTCCCAACCCATGCACAAATTTTATGACCGGGCCTCTAGTGAGAAATAAACCTTTATAGAGATGAGCTGTTTGTTTGTTTTTTGTTATAGCTTACAGCCTTCTCTCACTGGTACTGAAATTCACTGTTTAAAGTGCAGTGTTACCATAA